ATCTGTTTAACCTACCCTTAAAGGAAATATAGAGTCTATAAGGTTTAGACTAAAGCCAGTACTCAAATACAAAGGGTTGTTATTTGAGGGATAAAGAAAATGAGATCCCAGGAATTAAGGTCCTTCTAACCTGAGGTCACTTTCTATTTGATTTGGTGGCATCACCACAAAGTGCCACATGCTTTTCAACAACATTTACAGAGCCCATGTTCTTTAGGCACTGTAAAAAGTCCCTGGGACTTATTACAAACATAAAAAGACACGGTCCCTGTCCTTAAAAACCTTTCTTCATAGTATGGACATATTTCATTTTTCAAAGGTTAAGTGAATTCAAATTAAATTTATATTGAGGAATCCTTTAGAATTCCAGGACCTTCCTAGGTGGATGGATTCATGGAGCAATAAATCATTGTTCTGACATCTCTGTAAGTCACCAGCTACATTCTCAGATTTTCACGAGGCTACACACTGACTTTGGTAGACCCACAGGAATGAGGGAGGGTTTTCCTGGACAGAACTAAAAACACTCCAAGGTTCATATGCTTGCAACCACTTTCCAGCTATTCCCATTCTCGTTCCAGGATTTCTTTGCCACCTATTTATTAAAACAAAACAAAAACACCCCATGGGAAAACAAAACACCCATGGAGTCAATTCAGAATTCTGTATAGTGAATAAAAAATGCATTTTGTTTACCTTAAGTGGGGCAGAACCTGTTGAAAGAGGGCACTTCCAAGGGTCATCTTGCCTCTTCTGTGTGCTCCCAGGTCTCATTTTACAAACAGATTTCAGCCCAGGTCTGTCTGCAATGAGCTTCGTACGGAGCAGCTTTAACAGTCAGAGAAAGACTAGATGTGCAACGTTCCTGTAGACAGCCTGTAATGAAGAAAATCTCACTTGGAGAACAAAGGCTGTTGTTTTGAAACACTTTAAATATTATTACATTCTATTTGGTACATTTGGAATTTTACGTATGAAAGTAAAACAAAACACACAATAGCAAAACAAGCTTCAGCGCAACAAAATCAGAATCCAGTTCCTAGACTCACAGCTAGAGAGATGCTCTCAAGTAACTGCCAGGTACCATTTGGTCATTGGTGAGGCTCTGCTGCCCCCAGGTGGCTGAAGCCTTTCTCTGACAAAGCCACAGGTTCTCTGGTGCTGTTAAGTGTTATGGTGATTTTTAGAATGATGGAGTAGATGGATGGATAGGGAGATGAGTGGATTCACTTATTTGTCCATTCAGTTAACAAATATAGAATTTAAACTATTTTTCCAGGCATTGTCACAAGTGCTGTTAGGAAGTGACATTTGTGACATGACATTTGAAAACTGCTATGGATCAGAGCTACCCTGTGCATTGGTCCCAAGAAAATAGTGGGAACAGTGGCAAGTGACCTATGATGACAAGAGCAGGAATTCCCAAACATGCTTATTCCCCCAGAGGGACACATATATCTCATAGCCTATTAATTCAAACCCACTGGGCCCGGCTGGGCGTGGCTCAGTGGTTGAGCGTTGACCTAGGATCCAGGCGATCGGGGTTTGATTCCCGGTCAGGGCACATGCCCGGTTGCGGGCTCCAGCTGATCAATGACTCTCTCATCATTGATGTTTCTATCTCTCTCTCTCCCTCTCCTTTCCTCTCTCTCAAATCAATAAAGATATATTTTAAAAAAACACAACAAAACCCATTGGGAGAAAGAATATGAAGCAGGTAAATGTGAGTTTTAGATATACACTAAAAGAAATATTGGGGGATCTGTATGCAAACTGCAACCCCCCTTTTCTGCTCCCAGAAACTTTACCCTGGATCAGGGAAACAGACCTTAGATCATCTTAAATCTGCCCCTAACCTATGGTTTATGCTCTCCTGTTCTCCAGGTTCCTTGGCTTTTGATACTCAAAGCTAAGCATGTCCACTAAAAACACAAACAAAACAAATAAAACTTTTCACCTAAACAGCACTCTTACTAAAGTGCTTTGACTTTTAAATGCACCATGAATTAAAAAAAAAAAAAATCCAGCCCCTTTTTTAATGTCTCTGTTCAAGATTTTAGCTGTCTTTCCCTAAGGCAAGTGCATAAGGTGATCACTGATATCTCAGTGGTGGAATGAAAGGTAAGGGACAAGTAAGCTCAAGGAGGGTGAACCTCAGTTAATCTCTCAAATATGATCCACTACAGTGTGTGTCTCAGGACATATCTCCCCTTAATTTATATCATATGATTTATGTCATAGTATTTATAGTATGTTAAGGCTTTTGTTACATGTTCCAGACTGCTTTCCAAATAGTTGTAACTGTTCGGTTCTAGAAGGCTGCTCTGTTTGGATTAAGCCCTGGTTAAGCACATTAAAGACTCCTACCCTAACCTTGAAAAAGTTGTCTTCCCTAGCTATCGCCATTTCCTCACCTCTCAGTCGTCCCTCAGCTCACTGTGGTCTGGCTTCTTTCTGCTGAAACCACTCCACTGAAACTGTTTCTGCCAAGGATCTTGTTGCTAAATCTAAGTCCTCCTCTCATGTGACTTCTCAGAAGCATTTGCCAGTTTTGTGCTCCTCCCCCTCTATGAAGCTTCTGTTATCTCCTGGTTTCCCACTTCCCATTTTCAGTCTCCTTTGCAGGCCCATCCTCCCCTTTCTAGCCTACTCAGGGGTCTATCTAAGGCCCAATGACCTTCTCACTCTAAAGACTCTCCTTAGGCGATCTCATGCACCCCCGCCTCTAGTGGCTGGTGCCTCCTAAACCTCCTTCTCCATCTCAGCTCTTTCCAGGGCCCTATATCCATCTGCTCCTACACTGGCCATTCCAGCAGGTCGCAGCCCTTCTCAGTAGAGCAATGTTGAAACTAAACTTATCATCCTCCATCCCCTCCGCCCCTGTATCACCCATCTCATACCACATGAAACGGTACCCAAGCCAGAACTATGAGCACCATCTTCTTCTCCCTCATTCCTCACATTCAGTTTCCCAGTCTGGTTGATTCTGGCTCTAAATGTCTGTCAAATCTGCCCACATGTCCCGCGCCCTCTGGCACCATGAGCCCAGGCCCCTATTAATCCGTGCCTCTATTACTGGAACAGCCTTCTCATTTGGCTCCCTGCCTCTAGTCTGGCTTCCCTCCAACCCATTCTTTATGCTACAGGGAATGAGCCATCGGAAGTGCAAGTCTGATGACACATTTCCCAGCTCAAAACCTTGCAGTATGTCCACAATGCCTCAGAATAAAATCTAAGTCCCTTGCTTCTTGAGGCAGTGATTACAGGTGAATTTTAAGAAATTACCATGCAGTAAAATTGATTCTTTGTAGTGTAAGGTTCTATGAATTTTAAGACATGTTTCGTTAGATTCTGTGGCCACCACAACTATCCATCACCCTCACAAAACTCCTTTATGCTCTTTCTTTATACTCATGCCCTCACTCATCCTTAATCCCTGACAACCAACCACTGGTCTATTCTCCATAGCTACAGGTTTGTCTTTTCAAATGAAAAACAAAACAAAACAAAAGCCCTGCGGGTTGGCTCAGCGGTACAGCATGGACCTAAGATCCAGGCGACCTCCGTTCCATTCCCGGTCAGGTTGCGGGCTCAGCCGCCAGTAGGGGGCGTGCAGGAAGCGGCCGGTCAATGACTCAGCATTGATGTTTCTCTCTCTCTCCCTCTCCCTTCCTCTCTCTTAAATCAATAGAGACATATTTTTTAAAAACAACACAAAACAGGAATGTAACCTTTTGAAAAGGTAAAACAAAACCCGAACCCCTTAAAGTGGCTTTAATGCCTCTGCCTCCCTCACCTCCCTCAACAACTGCGCCCCGCCTCTTGCAATTACAGTGAACTATTTTCAGTTCTTGGGGAGCGCCAAGCTCTCCTCCAACTAGGCAACGTCCTCCCAGCTCTCTTGGAGAGGGGGGCACACAGAGGTGTGCTCCACAGTGCCTAGCGCTTCCTCCATCACAACCCCCC